ATAGGATGTCATTATTATTTTCTTTCTCCTAATGACCATCATTATGCACGGACACTGATTGAATTCCATTTGTTACCTACGTTTGAGCCTGAGTGGAATAATTACCATTTAAGTATCTCCATTAAAATTCATGCACGGATGTTCATACTCAGACCTTCTTTTAAAAATAACTAAAGTATTCATTGAATACAAAATGCATCAGATATAACACAGCGTTGCTTTCACACTTCAAAAATAATTACATGGATGCTATTAGAATGCATTCTTTTTTAGTTTGTATGTTTTTTATTTTTTTTAAGTGATGACAAAAGAAAAGCGAGAAACAGTTGCTGCTCAGTTGCTATCAATGCCTCACACTCTCTTAATATTTAATTAAAATGGATCTGCTGGTAAGTGTGATCAATATCCAGCACCCTGTCTAAATTGCTTTTTCAACCTCTCGAGTCACATACAAAATAAATATATTTCAGTCTTTGCATACATGTTCCACTTCTGTTTTTATAACACAGGGTAAACCGTGGTTGTGATGCACTGAGATATAATTTGAACTTTTTCTGCTGTTACAAGCATGAATGACAGCTTCAGACTCTATTGCTTCCCAAAGGAACTGAGTCATAGGTCTATAAGCCTATTTCTTTATCTATTGGTGCATAAATTTAGCAACAACAACACATGTCACTCTTTGTTTCTTCTTTAACTTGTAGGCATCTTGAGTGTATAGTCCCCCAAGTGGAAGTAACTCTGTTTATGCTGCAGGTAAATAAGGCAGTCTCTTCCTTAATATTGCCATCTTTCTGTAAATACACTGCAGTAGCTGAACAGTTAGTCAACAGAGGAGAACGGAAAGGGGATTTGGCCACACCTAATCAATCACTGACAGATTACTGCTAAAGCCACTTCCATACACATTAAAGAAGGACAAATGCAGAATTGCAACTGAACAAGTTCTAGTTTTAAGCCAACAGTGGGACTTCCTGGTGATTTATCAAAGTCACTGCTGCTGAGCAGCATGCCTGTGTGATTGTAGTTCACAGCAGACAGAACTGAGGCGCAGCATTGAAAAGAGTGTTTATGCCCTCAGCTTTGGCACTGTCAGCCTTGCGGAATTTACTGTAAATCACATTGCTTTTATTGCAAGATTTAGTAGCTTATCCTCTTGTGGGCTCTATTCACTTCAAGCTTGTCGCTATTAGGATTTTAGCCTAAGTCTATAAAGGGGCTTGGATACACATCTTGAAATATTGTGGGAAATCAAGTCTGTAATTTTTCACTATTTACACATCTTTCTCGCTATAATAGCCAAATGTTTCAATGCCGCAGCATCTTAAGTGTGTGTAAAATCTCTATTGAAGATGAGAATCACTGACTCTGATAGCCCAGAGATATTGTACAGTAGCTCTGCAAATTATGTTGTTTACACTATGAAGAGCCCCAAATCAAATTTGGTTAATTTGTGTAATGATAGAGAACATAAACACAGTGTGAAGCAAGGAAAATATTTTGTTTGAGAGCTGGTGGAAGAACTCAATATATTGTTACATTTGTTAGAAGATGTGACACTACCTGTTCTATGGTTATTGTGAAACAACAATCGCAGTAAAGCTCAGTCAATAACTCTCCAAACCACTGATCTGGGGAATTTAAACTGTTACATCAAGTTGTATGCCCCGGTGCATGCAGCTGGTTTCTCCAGAGTCAGTGTTTCATGGCAGAGAAAAATAAATGCCCAGCAACATTGCTGAAGTGATCACACATGACATAAGAGTCTGTAGGCAGAAGGTTAAAAAACAGCCAGTCACATGCCATGTAAACCCCTAACCTCATTCCTGGGGAAATGAACAATTTCAGCTTGCGTGTGTGTGTGTGTGTGTGTGTGTGTGTGTGTGTGTGTGTGTGTGTGTGTGTGTGTGTGTGTGCGTGCGTGTGCGCACTTATGTGTGTGTGTGCATTTTGTGTGTCTGTGTGAGCATGTTAAATTTATAAACTTTTTATACTTCAAAAGTGTTCAAGCATGAGCATTATAATTTTTAAACTGATGTTATTCTGTGAGATAAATGAATATACTGAATATATCCTTTTTAGAAACTCAAATACATAAATTTTATAGATAGATAGATAGATAGATAGATAGATAGATAGATAGATAGATAGATAGATAGATAGATAGATAGATAGATAGATAGATAGATAGATAGATAGATAGATAGATAGATAGATAGATAGATAGATAGATAGATAAAATCATATCTGGCTAACCTTATTTTTTCTGAGGGTTTGATATGTGTCAAGGATTCAAGTGTGTGATGGACATGAACTGTGCTCCATGTAGCTGTATGTGCAGGTGTCTGCATGATGTGTGTATTGACGTGCTGTAGCAAGAGTTCAGGGAGGCAGCTGAGCAAAATAATTTAGAATGTCCTGCCTGCTGACACAAGGACAAAGGCACATACTGAACATGCCCATATGAGGAAGGAGACACCGGACAAAGCTACACATTGCAATGCACTGCTGTTGTTTTCACCGTGACCTCCACAACACAGAGAGATTTTCACTGGCCGCTCCTACAAGCATGGACACTCAGTTTTGGTAATCTGAGACATTGTTCTCCTATTATTAGAAAATTATCTGAGCCCCCTCTGTCAATAATCAGCAGCAGAATGTATCTGAATTGACTTCTGTCATCAAGGCATTTTTCTTCATATCATCTCTAACAGAATAGACTTCCATGCAGCAGTAGCAAACGATTCTGGAGTGTATGAGCTTAAACTGCCATTTCCCAGAGAGTTTCAGTGGCTGCTCCATGTCCTGCCTTATGGGTAGGATTTCTCCAAAGAGTTTATGCAGTTGGAATTAGCATGGTGCAGTCAAGGGAGTACTGAAGGCTAAATCAATGCATCACTCCCAGGGCCTTGAGTATGGAGATGAGAGGGCATAATGCGACTTCTGGTGCCAAACCTCATATCATGTGTCTAACCAGGGTCTTTCTGCAGCACTACCCCAATGGAAAGAGATCACCTTCTTTTTTCAAGGCCACAGATAATACAGATCATAGTGAATAGTTTGAGAGTAACCTGCTAAAATATACATCATGACAATGAAAGGAAGATAACAGTTTACGCCACACAAAAACATGCCTTGGTAGTTGCCAGTTTGATACAAATTACAATAAGATGGCTTTTAGTTCATTTTAGGAAACAATGGGAAACAACTATGTTAGTTCTGTTTGAAATTAAAAAGATTTACCAGCACCAGCACTGATAGCTCATTGATTTGTATCGATCTATATATCTATATACAATATATAGATCTATATATATACCTAATAGTGTAAATGAATTTCAGTTTTATGGGGGGTTATGTGAAGGGTAAAGATGTGATTTCTTCTAGGCTTGATGCACTGGTTTCCAGTCTTCTTTTCAGTGTGAGGTTGCAAGGCACTTTGCATAGACTACAGTGTCTAACTACCTGCTGCTCGCTGTAAATTCGTACTCCCAGCAAACATGCATGTGTCTACGTATTGCTTAATATTTTCTTACCCTAAACCAGTGCACTGTTGATGCACTGCATGTGGTTATTCACATTATTCATGCCATCATTTGGATCAACAATGGCAGAAAAAGCAGCTGATACGCTTGGTGTATGACCTGGAAAACAACAGATGCTTTTCATTCTCATTGTTGACTCTGTATATGTAAAATGTATGCAAAGCCAAACGAATTACGCATCATACCTACAGTTGAATAAATGTGCAAATACACATGTGGCTCAGAAGAGTGTTTACAGCAGCACACATACACAGTGCCAACGAGTTCTCAGCAGCGCTTGCAGAAGTATAATTAGATAGTTAATACGTCAAATTGCCCCAGAGCAAAATTTTTGCCATGATAGGCTACAAGTGAACTGCTGCTCATTAAGGCTCATTCTCTTTGAATTTGGCTCTCGCCGGACAGAACATGCGCAGTGTGCAGCGTACTGCCTTCAGTCAGTGGAGCAGCTGTCCAGGGTTTGGAATTCCAACATGGCAGAGGCTGTGGTCAGTCTTCACCTCACTAACTTGGAATGGTTTCAAATCGTGAGCAGCCACGCTTAACCCCAGCGAGCCATTCATCTGCACACTCACTGGATCGATGGTACTATAAACCCTGACGCTGCCCTGTCACCTACACAGGTAAGTCCTGTTATGTCTCTCAGTGATGCGAACAATTAAAAAGAGAAACGGAGCAGCTCTGCACGCACAAATGCTCGCAGCGAGAGAGACGGTGTCGCGCGTCACAGAGCTGCAGCGCAGTCTGTGGCCAATCATTCTGCGTTCTTCGAATCAAAATTACCGGCCGCTGCTTTAGAAAATACCAAAAGAAGATTATGAAGTTGGAAAGGGACTTTACAATTAACGTGCAACACTCCGTTGTGTGAAGCGAAGGTTACACGCACGGCTGAATCCAGTCTCCAAAATAACTTCCCTGCAACGAGAAGTTTTTGCATGTCAGCCTGAATAAAACTTGCCGCGATAACCGCAGGCGGGTGGTTAATAGATGGGTTGTCATTGCGCGCTTAGTGGGACAACTGCTGGCAAGTAATCTATTTTAAAAGTAAAGGGAGGGGGCATCACGCTGGTTTAGCCTCTTCCTCTAATGGGCGGCATGAAGAATGTGTGTTTTGTGTCATCCACAGTCTCTCACATGCTTCCTATTCTCTTGTTTCAACTCGCGCAAGAAGTGACAGCCTCCAGCCGCGCCTGTGTGGCGTTTGCGTCTCCTTCCAGGGCTTTTTCTTTTTTTCTTTTCTTTTTTTTTTGCTTCGAAAAATATGAGTCGCACGATGCGTTCTTCTTCGTTTTTATTATTCTTAATTATACGCTCTAAATGAATACCTACAGGAAGAAAAGGGGACCGTGCGTTTTGAAAGTTGTGAAATCCGATAGCTGAGCAAAAAGTGGCTGTAATGAGAAGCAACCTTTGGAATTCCTCCTCGTGAAAATTCCGTTTCTGCTGTTTTTCCCTCTCCTCTTGTTTTTAGGCTTGAAGACATGATCACTAGCACCAGTATATATGGTATGTTCAATTTGTAATTATCTTTAATATTATTATTTTTAATTGTCATATTTGAAAAAAGGCTTCCATTGCAGTAAATGTGTGTGTGTGTGTGTGTGTTTTTTTCTTTGTGCATGCCTGGTTCATCTACAGAAGTTTACTTGATTTAGGTTAAATAATTTAATGATTGTAGATCATAGACGAGGGTACATCGTGATATTAATTTTGTACAAGTGGCATTATCAATTAAGTTCAAAGTGCCTTGTGTAGGTTAAGAAATTTGCCCCCATTTTAATTGGTTTGGTTTCTGTAATTGACATACTTGATGTCCAGTTTTCATTTTTCTTTGTCCTTTCCCTGCTTTCATTTCCTTGCATGCATAACTCTAACAATATGACTTCTTTTGTTAGGGTTACAAATTAGTATTAAGAGCTCTCATTTCAAACCTACCAGCAATTCTTATATGGAGTCTGATTTTATAGTATAGTTTAACCATAAATAGAAATATTTGCCCATCTAGAAAATTGCATTTTTTAAACATAGTTTATTTTCAGATTTATGACATGGCTTTGAATTAATGGGTGTCTTCAGAGTTGTTAGAACATAAATATATTGTCATGGTTCCACAGTAATCAGGTTGCATCACAAATATACTATAGTTATGAAGCATGATCTAAAATAATTTATACAACAAAACTACTGGTAATACAAGCTTGCTGTCTTGTTTCAACATTACAAAATACCTGATGAGATAACCCAAGTAACCCAAGTTTAAGGAAAACACACACTGCTTTTATCTTTAGCTGTCACAATCCAGAAAGACCTACAGGTGAAACAATATCGTATTTCCTCACAAATTAGTTCACAAGCAACGTATAAAAAAATGCTGTCATTTATGATAAAGTGGAAATGATTCGTGAAAAGCCAGTAAATGAACGCAAAGTCAGTGAAGTAACAAGTTGTGTGCTTTCTCTCTTTTGCAAACACTTTGTCCTAAGTGAACCTTTTCCACCTCCATAGAACAATTTACTTAATTGTGTTCGCACATTTCATTTGCATGTTTTGCTTTGAGAGGAAATTAACATCATCAGCAGTGAGCTGAAGTATGTTTTCATTCCTCTTCAAAAATAACAGCATTCCAGCATCCGTCACTCAGTGGAAAAAATGTACATTACCGCCACGTTCATTATGTTTGAGTGTTTGGTTGTAATGTGTTTTTTTTTTTAAGTGGGTATTAATTTTGTCGGTTTGATTTTAAAAAAAAAAATGTTTTTCATATTTATACCCCATGTGTGGTAGGTATTTTTATTGCAGACTTTTGGTCTGAGCTTCTCTGACATGCACACTGGCTGAGACTACACTTAGTTTTAAACATTAAAAAATATATTTTATTTAATCTGTAGCCAGAGCTTGTAATCTAAATGTCATGTACAGTGTATACGATCTTTAAATGTATGATTTCAAATGATAGACTTGTGTAATTTAACTGACAATTTAAATATATATATATATATATATATATATATATATATATATATATATATATATATATATATATATATATATCGCAACGCATGCATTTTCCTGGAGGTTTACACCTACAGTATAATTTTTGTGGCTATTATGACTTCAGAGGTGGGTTTATGGTTTTATCTTGATAAATTTACAGTATTTGTACACACTAAATAGCCTTCTTACTCACCCTGAGCATACTTATCAGGATTCAAACCCTGGAAGGGTTCCATGTATGAGCTCCTGCAGCGTGTTAGCCGATTCTTGCAGATCCTTACTTAACCCCAGACACCTCTGTTGTGCATGGAAAAGAAGCTGACAGCTCTGTTTATTTCTGATAGGATAGCACTTATGATAACAACCTAAGCTGCTATTTGACACAAGTCTCAGTTTTGACTCCTGTTTTCATCACCTACTTTGCCTTATGTCACACATGTTCACACTTTTAAGAGTGAGTGCAAAGAATAACAAGAAGTTGCATGAAGTAAACTAAAAAAAACTGCATGTACTTTATGGCAGAAGGATATAGAAATATTGACAAAGGGATTCCTTGCTAATGGTGGTCAAAGAAATCCATTTCTTTTCCACACTGCAGTGCAATGTAATAAAATGTTTGGGTTTTTTAATCATACTTTAAAAACAATTTGGATATTTCACTTTTTTTTCTTGCTTATTTTACTGCTGCTTCTTTATATGTGCTAATAGCGTCACATAAATCTAAACAGGTTTCCTGAAACACAGTGTAAACAAATTAAAACAACAGGTGATTTCTTGATTTCTTGTTGAGTACATCTATAATTAAGTAATATAAGTACACAAACATGAAGCAAAAAATAATTATGACTGTGCATCTTGTGAATGCATCTTGTCCTTGTGAATCAATTTAGCTTCTCTAAATCTCTAAATGTTCTGTCTATAATCTAAAGTGTGTAACATTACTAGTGATCACTAAAATTGACAGCACGGTTTAAACTATTACCTTAGGGAAGTGGTGTGTGGTGGAACTGACACTTTATATATGTACTAATCACAACAATTAAAGCCAGCCCCTGAATACCTTGAGCTGACTCTCTGTAAACACCCCGTGGGATGTCTGCAGGGCTTTTGTAAATAGATGAAATGCTCATCTTTACAGACTGATCTATTTGTCGGTAACTAGATGAAATCCCATTCAGCCCCTTGACTACAGTGTGTTGTACCAGATCAGTGCAGGATTGTCATCTTTCAGAAAATATGTTAAGTGGTGTCTTTCCTGTTTTTCATATAAAAAGCAAGGGAGTCCCCCAACGGAGTAAGACTCAAGCCAAAGGGACAGAAAAAAAAACCCTCCAATCTTTAACATGTTCCCCCTCCTCTCTCTTTGTTTCTTTCTCTGTTCGTCTCCTCACTTGTATCCACATCTCTGTCGTTTCCCTTATGGCAGCTTGCTATGTTATCTGTGTGTGTTTCACTCTGCACTGACAATTCTTGCAGTGATTTAAGTTGGACTGCATTAGAAGGTGGAGGCAGCTGTCTGTTGCTATACTGAGGGACGTGTTTGCTCTACTGCAAAGATGAAGGACCGTGAATCCTTGACATCCTCCCTCTCTCTTCCCTCCTCCTCCTCCTACCATCTCATTTAGACACAGTGACTGTCTGCTCAGACTTGTTTTTTTTCCCTCTGAGTGACAGCATATGGCATAGACATTTTCTAAAATGCATGTGCCTACTATTGGCTGCTTGTACTTACCCTTCATATGTCTCTTAGCTGCGGGCCTGTCACATTTTTTTCTAATTCTAACAAAATACTCTGACATTAATTTAGTTTAACAGGTAGTAATTGATAAAACAATGCTGGCTTTATATTAAAGAAGCGAACAGATATTCAGAGTCTGCTTTACTACTGTCTGTAATTTAAACGGCCCTTTAGAGTTCCTTTGTTTATTGCAGTTTGTTTTATTTTTTCAGTCAAAAAAAAATGTGCAGTGGCGCTTTTGTGTGTCTGTGTGCTTGCAGGTCAGCCAGCCTGTTTTTCTTTGTGTATGTTGAGGACCAGTTTGAGGATGGACACGGTGCCCTGTTCTATCTTTAAAGACACTGGTCCTTGCATAAACATGCTATAATATCATTACGATCCATACCATAAAGCATAATATGATTACAGAGCTTAGGATTCAGCAAATGGCTAATTATAATGGCAACACTTTCATAGGGTACGTTGCAGGGGCAGGTTTGTCTAGGCCCTCATTGCCAGGCATCTTATTTACACAGTATAGCATTTGTTGCCTTAAAGTCCTTGTTCTTCTCATTTCCAGCACACTGAAACAAGGGCTTTGTTTCATCTCCTTCACATGAGGTGTCTCTACACTCATAAGAAGAGAAGGCAGTTCAGCGCCTGTTGGGGATTGGCTAGAATAGACAATTCCCAGGTGTACTAAACTAGGTTTAGCACTAAGGCTTTTAATCTGGACTTGTAGGAGATTCATGTGCATTCATAGATTTGCCTCTGTAATTATCATACCCCCAGTGGCAGCCACAGAGACGTTTGCCTAAATCACTGATGTCCTCATTACACTGTTTACATTTTAATTAGTCATGCAAAATTCTTTATTTCTAATCGACCAAAAAGATTTGGTTTCTGCCCAGACTGTTTTGTGGCTCTTTCTGAATAGTGTCTGCATCTTGCAAAGAGAACTGTTGCTTTCCCGTGTTTTTCATCTGTTAATGTAGCTTTCTTTACATCTCTCAAGCGTTTTATAATTACATTTATAATACAAAATATAATTGATTGACTGAGAATGTCATTCAGGTGCTTTATGAGCAAGGTCTGAATGAAGAGGCAGCAGACAACTCTAGATGACAGTTCGAGGATGTTATTCCTCTCTGAGAAATAACAACATTATGTCCTTATGACTGAATCTGCTTCCATAACTTTAATTTATTTCTTTAGCCAGATAATTTACTGCTACTCAGAGGCAGTGAATACCCAACACTTAAGGAGTATGATTAACAAAATCTACAATTCTATGACTTTTGAAAATAGCTGGCACTCTGAGCTGTCATTGTATGCCTGAGTACTGTTGCTTATCACTGAATAACCTTGGTGAAGAGTGGTGTTTGTTCCTGTCCTTCTTCCAAGGTGTTTTCTTTTTTGTGCTTGCTGTTGGGGAGGTTTTTTTATTGTGAAAGAGGAGCAAGCCTTTCACTAGAGGATAAGAAAAAAACTCAATATTTTTGCTGTATTGAAATTCCACTTGTGTTCTCACAAACCAGTGTCTGATTAAACTGGTAATCGAGGCCATCATTCTACTGATTTCACTGAAAGCCCATGCAACTAGACAACCTTAAATACTATTTCATTTCACCACGTTTGTCAGACTCATTATAGGTTATTCCTAGTGGTAAATACCCTACTTCTTTTATGTAAATTGTCACATTTGTCTTGGTGTTGGCTTGTCCTAATCAATATTTAATTGTGATAACAGCTGACTGGCTTTGATCCTGCTACTGTGATTCTAAATGTAGCTTGC